AACCGAACCTTCTTTCATGAAGCCAGCGCTGGTCGTGTGGCAGAACTGGAATTGCAGGCCTGCACCACCATGCCCGGCTCTTTCCTTTCTATTTTATGAAATAATTTGAGGAAGATTCACATTAGTTCTTTATAAAGGTCTGATTTAAAACTGAACTTAGAATCCATCTGGTCCTGGGCTTTCCTTTTCCTTAAAAGACTTATGAGGAAGTCTTTTAAGGAAAAGACTTTGATATCATTGTTTGATGTTGGAAACCAGGAGGTTTCCTATATCCTCATGGTTTAATGTAGGTAGGTCATATGTGTTTAGAAATTTGTCAATATCTTTTATATTTTCCAATTTATTGGAATATACAATTTCAAAATAGTTCCCAATGATTTTCTAGATTTCAGAAATGTCAGGTGATGACTCTTTTTCATCTCTGATTTTGTTGATTTGCATTTTCTGTCTTTTGGTTAGTTTGACTAAGGTTTTTATCAATCTCATTTATCTTTTCAAAGGACCAACTCGGTTACATTGAATCTTGTATTTTTTATTCTCAATTTTATTAATTTAGGCTGTGATCTCAATTATTTCCTGTCTTCTACTGATTTTGGAATCAGTTTGTTCTTGCTTTTCTAGGGTATTGAGGCATAATATTAAATTGTTTATTTAAGATATTTCTGTGGATTTTTAAAAATGCAGATAATGATTCAAACTTACCTCTTAGAGTTGCCTTATTACTACCCCAGAGATTTTGATATATTGTATCTCTGTTCTGTTTCTTTCTAAGAGTCTTTGAAATTTTCTCCTGATTTCTTGTATGCCCCATTTCTCATTCAAAAGTATATTATTAAATCTCCATGTATTAAAATGTTTTCTGATTTTCATATTGTTATTGATTTCCAATTTTATTCCATTATGATCTGATATGATGCAAGGAATTATCTCTATTTTTTGTGTTTTCTAAGACTTATATTGTGTCCTAAAATATGGTCCACTTTAGAGAAAGTTGCATGTGCAGCTTAAAAGAAAATGAATTTGGTTGTGGATGGGTGAAATATGCTATAGAAGGCTATTAGGTCCATTTGATTAATTGTATTTTGTTGTTATTTTTTCTTTCCTGAAGAATCTTTACTTAGTTTATGTCTGGAAGATCTACCGGTGAGAGAAGTGTGTGGAATCTCCCAGTATTACTATATCCTACTCCACTTACGTAGAGTAGGATTTGCTTTATATACGTAGATGCCCTAACATTTGGGTCATAAATATTCACGATCATTACATCTTGTTGAATGATTCCCTTAACCAGTATGAAATGACCCGGTTTTATGTTGTGATTAATTATGGACTGAAATATTCTTTGCCAGATGTGAAAGTAGAGATTCGTACTTACTTTAGTCTCCATTTACATGGTATATATTTTTTTCTGTCCTCTCACCTTCAGTCTGTAGATGTCCCTCCTATAAGGTGACTTTCTTTGTAAACAGCATAGGAATGGGTCTTGTTTTTTCTTAATCCATTCTGCCAATCTTTGACTTTTGATTGGTGAGTTTAGACCATTTATATTCAATGTTATTATAGAGATGATTTTTATTTCTTTACATTTTGATTTATTCATAATATTATTTTAGACTTAATGGTTCTTTGATTGACTAGTCTTCTAGAGTGGGATTCATCCATAGGCTGGCTTTGATATTTATTTTTTTGTGTGTCTTGTCAGTAAAATCTTTCACTGTTTCTTGAGTATGTTTTATAATAGTGGCTTAGTGGTTATGATTTCTTATCAAGGAAGATTTTTTTTTTCTCATCTTAAATTCTAGAGGATAATTTTTCTGGATATAACAATCTTGGTTGGTAGCTGTTATCTTTCAGGGCTTGGTATATATTATTCCAATGCTTTTAGGGCCTGGGTTGAGATATCAGAAGGTAGTCTAATTGGCTTACCTCTAAATGTGACCCATTGTTTTTCTCTTGAAGCTTTTAAAATTTTTTCCTTGTTAGACATTATAATTATAATATGTTTTAGAGATGATATTTTTTATCTTGTATACTTGTATATCTTGTATTCTTGCAGTGGGATTTCCATCTCACTTGGAAAATTTTTTTCTGATATTATTTCATGGAAAAGCTTGTGCATTCCTTTAGTTTGCATTTTGGTGCCTTCTCCTGTGTCAATGACTCCTTGATTTTGTCTCAATGTTTTCCAAGATTTTTTGAATATTGTTATGGTATCTTATCATCTTTTATTTATTGTCAGTTTTATTTTCAAAATCATATACTTTGTCTTTGAGGTCTGAGAATCTATCTTCAATGTGGTCTCATCTATTGGTAATGCTTTCAATTGAATTTTTAATTTGATTTATTGAGTCTTTCATTTCCAGGAATTCTATTTTTTTCTTGAATTTCTATCTCTTTATTGAAATGATATTTTATTCCCTGTATTCTGAGTTCATTCCTTACATCTTCTTTTATCTCACTAAATGTGTTAGGTTTGAACTTTCTAAATTCTTTATCCAACATTTCCTCCACTGTGATTGGATCAATTGTTGTGGGATGGATATCTGGGGTAGTTTGTTCCCTTGCTTTTTCATTTTTTTTTTTTTTTTTTTGTAAATATGTCAATGTGCTGGGATGATGATCTCTTCTACTTTTATGCAAGTGGCTGTTCTTTAGTGAGCTTCTTTCTCTTAGGTGCCCCAGGTTGAGTGAATATTCAAGTATCCATACTCCCAAAGGATGCCCTTCCTGTGCCCAGTATCCAGCACCACTTTGTGACAAGATGCTACATCCTATTAACTGCAATCACTTTAGAACAAAGCCGTGTGCTGATAAACCTCAGAGTGGAAAAACTTGTTGAAAATGTTCTCCATTATTCCTCTAATCCAAGTATAAAATTGTAGTAATGTTTTTCAATAGGTTGAGAAATTATTTATTAAATAGAGTAAAATTATTATTACACTATACAGGGGCTGAAAGGGGAGAAGAGAAGCAATGGGCAAAGAAGCAAAAGAAAGATAAAAGAAAATATTGAAAAAGTAATGGAATCTAAGATAAAAACAAGAAAAAAGTGGGAGTGTATTTGAGGCAGATGCAGGTAATGCTAGAGGGAAAAGAGCCCAAGAGGAGCAAGTGTAACCTGAGACAGGCAAGCAGAGAGGAAGGGTGATTCCAGTTAATTATTTAAAATATTAGCAGGAATACAACCAATTGGGTTGAGACCTGCAATATTGAATAATAAAGGAATATCTATCAATTCAAAACAAAAGGTCATAGCTGTGAGATCAAAACTGACATTAGAGCTATTTGATATTTTTTGCTGAGGTGGGAAGATTTCTTATGAGTTCCTGATCTGGATTTCATCAGGATTTGGACCTTCAGAAGATGCTCACTGCTCCTTGGCTTTTCCTCTAAGTTTTCCTGGGTAGAGGTAGTGAGCACAGCAGCTCACCTCTGATGTGATTCTAGAAGGCTCCTTTTGATCTTTGATGTGTCCAGGTACTCCTAGCTTTCTGGAGGGTCAGAGAGGTCCTAATTGTGACTGAGCAGCTGAGTTACTCCCTGTTTGAGGGTGCAGTCTTGGGTGCCTTCTGGTGAAAAACTCCATGTACCAGGGTGGTTAGATGCAGCAGGGGCTCCCCGTGTGCACTTCAGGGTGTGCAGGGTGTGGCAGTCTAAGGTAGAGGTGCTGTGGCCTGGTTGATGTGGCACTGAGTGGCCCTTGAGAGGTGTGTGGCTGCGGCCCCTCTGGAGTGTGCAGGCTGCACACTGATCAGTGAGTGATGTCTGTGGGGTGCTCCGCTGTAAGCCCTTGGTGGGCCGTACTCCTGCTATTGATGCAGGAAGTTCTTTGCTGGCTGCTTTGGGGTTGTCCTCAGGGACTTCCTTCTGTGGGCTATGCACCTGAGGGAGAGGTGATTGGACTGGACCCTGGGACTCACAGCTGTGGCCCCTCCAAGAGATGCCAGGCACAGGAACTACGTCCCTGGTTGCTATAGTTTTCTTTCTGTCCTTCCTCTCCCCCACCCCTGAACTGGAGATTAAATACAGTAGCATCTGCCACTGAGCTACTCCCTGAGCCCTTTTAATTTTAAAAAAATTGAGGCAGAGTCTTGCTCAGTTGCTGTTGCTGGCATCTGACTCGCTATACTCCTAAGTTGCAGGGATGACAGGTGTGCCCTGCCATGCCCGACTCAGGTTGCTATGGTGTGCTCACCAGCTGGGGGGCTTGTTAGCCCAGAGGCCCAAGGCCCGTGTTTGGAGAGTGCTGCATCTGCTGGCTGTTTCTATGGGGTGTGGGGGTGCAGGGTGCAGGGCTCATGGCTGTCGCTGGCTGCTGGGGAGTGCTGAGCACCTGCTCCCCCTGCCAGGGTTTCTTGTAGTGGTGGTGTCTAATGGCTGGCCAGCTGGCTGCAACTGCGGGACCTGTGGGCGCAGCCTCTCTGGGTCTGTGGCACAGAAGCCTCCATGCTGGCTGCAGCTCTTGGGGTTTTTTTATGATCCCTGTGTCTGGGGTCCAGTGTCCATTGCCTGAAGATGGGGGAAACTGCGTGATTTGGTCTCCTCTAGGGAGACCAGCTGGCTAAGGACTCTACAAAATGGCTCTACAGAATGGCTCCTGCCCAGCATGACTTTCAGTCCACAATTTGAACTAAGCCTTGAGATCTCCGTCACTGTCTCCCAATTTGACTTGGTTTGCTTCTCTTTGTAGCTATGGATAAGGGAGTAACTGGGGCTTTCCCTCTTTGTCTTTCTCTCTTTGTTACCCCTGTCCTTGGCCCCACCCTGGTCAGGGTTCAGGGCCAAAAAATTCTGTTCTTATTTTCTGCCCCAGTAACCAAACTCCAGGTGCCCCCAAGTCTCTAGCTGTCCAAGCTTGAGTTTAGAGCCCCGACAATTGTCTACCTCTGCAGCCAGCCCTGCTTGCATGGCTTAGCAGGGGTTGGGGCTGCTGCTTGGATCCGGTGTGCCGTCTTCTCCAGAATAATTCTTACTATTTTTGTTTCATTTTGTCTTAATAGGGTACATTGTTTGAAAGCATAGGACTTATGAGGTGCGAAGAATGGTTTTTCACAATAATGAGACTGGATGTTACAAAACCAATTTCAGATGAAAACGTTACGGTCCTCGACACAGCCTTTGGAGACATTCCGGTACGCCTGTACTTGCCAAAAAGGAAGTTGGAAAAGCAGAGACCAGCGGTGATTTTTCTCCACGGTGGTGCCTTTGTCTTGGGAACTTGCAGTGAGTGCATTTTATTTATATGGCTGTGGGTTGGGCTTAGTGTAAACTGTATGTTAAACTATGTTGTGTCTATATGTAGGATTGACAGAACATTTGTTTATGCAGCATTTATTTTTGTGACTATGTGAATGCATTTTACAGAGACATTGTGGACTATATCAGTTATGGTTCACTCACACTTCTTCATACACAGTGTGGCAAATAAAATAATAAAAATCATTAGATGAGATTTGGGCTTTATAAACTTTATCATCAAATATACTTCCATTGATAGCCGGGAATGGGAAGTTCAAACAGCCACCTTGAGTATTAAATTACAAATTAGCAAAGGACCTGAATTCACTCTCATAAAAACTCAGGTGAATCCAGAGTCAGGTCAAATCAGAAATGACACAACTAGTGGCTACTGAGCAGTGGACACAGGGTTCAGGTCAGAGGCTCCCAGGCACCAGTGGTGTGGAAGCTCAGAATCTAACATCTGATTTGGCCACAAAATGAAAAGATGAAGTAGAAGTGAATAATCAGCTCTTCTCTTAAAACCTGTGTACCCATCTAATATTTGGAGATAATTCCAAGGAATGCTGTGGAGTTGCCAACACACACACATACACACACACACACACACACAAACACACACACATGTTTAGACCATTGATGAATGTTAGGAGGTCACTGCGTGTCACAGGGTACAAGGGTGTTATACTATATACCTAGAAGATGTCAGAAACCAGGAAAAAGACTCGTGTCCCCAGAGAAATTGCAGCCTAACTATTATATCCAGAAGTTTGGCTTCGTTTTCTGTCTATATTTCAAAATATGCAAGAAAGCTACTGTATTCAGATGGGTGGCCCATGACCGCAAGGTAAGCCCGTCCTGGGGTCAGGTATTGTGATCAGAGTTTCAGACGTGAGGAAACAGACACAGAGGTTAAGTGGTTTTCTGAGTCCTCCTGTCAGTGGTGGGGGCAGTCACCAGGCCCAGGCCCTACGGCAGGTCCACAGGCATGGCATGGGGTGTCACTGCTGGTGGGTAGTGTCTCTCGCATGCTGCTGTTACCCCTTCGCCCCCAGGACCTCTGAGCTCTCAACACTATCCAGGTCTCCCGGGTCCTTCCCTATCAGCTCTCAAGGTGTGAGTCCACAAGTCGGTGCCCATCACTTCACCTCTGCCCATCTCACGTTATCAGCACCATAGCCATCAGTAATCCACTTCTTTTTGATGACTTAGGAAAAGGCTTTTTTTTTTTTTAATTTTTTGGCAAACTTTGATCTTCTACTTGGTTTGGGACCCTGTTCTCTCCAACTTCGGGATTGGATTTTATCAACACTTCTCCTTCATTCTCCTACCTGACAGTGTGTGCTTTGGTGGACCCCGCCACCTGGCCATCTCTCCCCCCACCGTCCTTCCTGGACCCCGGTCACTGCCTACCACTCATCCTGTTCTCGGGCTCCTGGGCATACACTGCAGGTCTGTCTATGCCTCTGTGATGAGTTCTTCAAGCTGTCATTGGAAAATGGCCACTGCCCCCTGCCCCACTGTAGGGCTCTCTACTCTTTTGGTCCCTCAACAGAATTCCCTTCCTTACCTCCACCTCCTTCTCCCTCTGTCAAACACGTGGGTTCTTCCTTTGCCCTGTGTAGTGCCCATGCTCCCCAGGATTCCTCCGTCTCAGGTTTGACTCTGCTTTCATGTGGTCCTCCACACTGTCCTCCTGTCCCTGCCCCCACCCCCACTCCTGATACTGAGTTTTGGCTCCGCATCTTCACCTATGTCCCCAGAGAACCTGCAGCCTAACTTATATCCTGACGTCAGTAAATTCAACTGCTGACCAGGCCGAGGCACCTAAGAAGCCATAGATCAGCCAGCCTCAGCAGGAGCTTGCGGTCAACCCAGGGTGAGAAACAATTAAACTGGGTTAATGTAACATGAACTCAAGCATAACAGAAATGGTCATCTCATCGTTACCTTCCAAGAATTTCAGAAAACCAATAAATAACAACGACCCTGAAGCCCCCAGAAAACCACCACCAACGAAACCCAGATTCCTTAGCTCATGTGTGTCCACGCACGGCTAGGAGCCCGGTCACACTCTGTCCCTCAGCTCCAAGTCCAGTCACCGGCTCTGTCCACACTGCTCTCTAGATTTCTTCTCTTTTTCTGTCAAAACCAAAAGACGTAATTCATCATTCAGATTTCTTCCTGTTGCTTTTTCTCTGCTGGTTCACCCTCGTTCTTCGACTGTGTCACCTTCTTCAGGATTAAACCTTTGTAATATGGGAAGCTGACCATGGAAATTATTATTGAACTTTGATAATATCCACCACTTGTTGACAAAGAAATCTTAAGTGCACCATCCAAACTTGGACAGCTGTACGCTGATTTCCCTGGGGTGCCTTACTTCCTACCCTCTTCCTCTCTAGACTTTATTTTGACTGTACTCACTGCATTTGCTCCCCTGAACTCTGGGTTCTCAGGAACCTTTGCCTCTGAATCCACTTTTTCCCACCATGAATACATTTTTCTTTCCCATTTGATAGCAGTTATCACATCTTTGCCTTTTACACAGTGAACGCCCAGTTAGTGCCTTTTGAATGAGTTAATTCATACTGAGTCAGTGTTTGACACTGATTTCCAGTAGGATTTTATCTCCATATTTTACACAACCTTCTCAATCTTTCCATTCCTTTAAGTACACAGTAATTAGATTTATTCCATAATTAATCAGCATAAGAATTAGAATAGCAAGTATATCCTATCAGTTGATTTAGATTAAAATTTAAATGATCACTTCTACCCAGAAAGATAACTTAAAATTTATTTACAAGATAATCAAATATGAATGTGTTCATGTAAGTGTCAGATTATTTCATAAAGGAAAAGTCTCACTTTTCTTTAATTGCCCTGAGAAATGTACCTGGAATTAGGTAAAGTACTGTTCCTTTATTGAAAAGGAAAAGGATAATGACTAGCAGTTCCTGAAAAAAAAAAATGAGCTATGATTGAACCTCGGAACCCATGAAAACCTTCATGCTGGATCTAATGTTATCTTCAAGTTATTCCGAGAGTTCTGGCTGATTCCTGTCAGAGTTTCAGGGACACCATGGTCATGAGCGTGCCAGTTATAGATCAAGGCACACGCTTTCTTCTTCTCCTTCAAGTACTGAGAAAGCCAAGAGTCAACCTTGGGACGGTCCAACAGCGTGTCTATTACTGATGTGTCCTTAGCTCTGCTAATGGACGCCTTTGAGTTAGATATCCACCCTCTCCTGGCAGTTTCCTGATGACACTGGGCAGAACACAGCAGGCATGATAGACCTGGGCATCCTTGGTGAATGGCACCCCTTGACGAGTGTATCACAGAGAACCTGGAAGAAGGGTTCTGACAGAAGGCACCTGAGCCAAGGGCCATGTCCAGTTTCCTCCTTCATGGTGAACAGTCTGGCGTCCTCTGGGACTTGCTCAGGGATGACTGAGGAGTTGAGGATGAGGAAGGTTTTGATTCCGGACAGTGTCCCTCCACATGGCAGCAGATGTGGGACCGTCCTCCATCCCCTGCTTCTGGCCTGTGTTTCCACACTTCCCAAGACAGGGAGGTGCCCACTGCTCTTGTTCACAGGTTGCCCATTTGAATTTCTTCCTTTTCAGAGCTGTCGGCTTATGACTCCACGAACAGACGGACGGCTAACAAACTCGGTGCTGTTGTCGTCGGAGCAGAGTAAGAGCGATTGTTCTCCCCAGCACAGGCCTCGCCTCACAGCACAGTGTCCTGTCCAGGGCCAGCCCCTCAGGCCTCAGGAGTGGCTGGTCTGGGCTTGGGGTTTACATAGATTTTTATGAACAATATAATATCCAGGCCTCCTCGCAGGCTTAGTTCCACTTCACTGTGCCCTTGAGGGACCTCTGAGGGGCACCCCAGGAGAGCATCTTTGCCAGCACAGCTGTGACAACCCCTGGGAATATAAAACTCAGGTTCTAGGATGACCCAGTTTAATCCCCAGGTCAGAGACTTGGGAAGGGAACTTAGTTTCCCGTTTCCCATTTGGGAGTTTTTTGAGCTGATAAAAAAAAGACCTGAAGTTTAAAGATGTTCCTGGTTGGAGGAGCCTTGGGTGGGGAATGCTGGGACCCTGAGAGTCTCAAGCATGCTCCAAATGAGGGTGCTTAGCACCCCACGACTTTCCCCGCAGTTCCAGACATGTTCCAGAAAGGCCAGCAAATGCCGGTCACTTTCTGACCCACGCTGTCTTCTGAAATCCTGATCTGAGGAGGAGGAACTTTTCCATCTCTACTGCCCATTTCATAGTGCAACATAGAGGTGCCTGCCTGATGGGAAGGACACAGTGGGGTTTCCTGGCTCCCTGGGGGTCTGAGGGGGTCAGTTGGAAGGTTCTAGTGGAATCAGTGCTGAAGCACTCATCACTACTGCCCTGTAGCAATCAGAAGATCCCTGTGTGTTCAGAGCTATTTCTAATTTACAACAGCAAGAAAAATATTCTCCCTTTCCTTCTATAATTTTAAACTAAGAGACCACTTTATCATTTTAAATAAACACTTCAAATGGTGATAGATGTTGATTCTGGTTTAAGAATTCTATCAGTGACTGATGGTATTTGCTGTTCTTTACCCTGAAGAACACTGAGTGTATCAGCTACATTTTTGATATGTTACTTTTTAAGATTACACTATAATTAGGGTATTTTGGACACAGATCATAATATAACAAAATTGCCAGGGCCATCTGGCCAATACTAAGTGTTCAGCATGGCATGCAAATAATTCACCAATTCTTATAAATATTAAGATTACTACTATAGTTTGAAATAGAAAATAAATTCCAATTCTATTATGCTCCTGTAATAGAAGACAGTGTGTGGCAGACACCTACGTGTTAAAACGTGCTGTCATAATTGGTCTTCCAAATGAACTCAAGATGACCAAGCACCATCCCTTGCCATACTTCTTTTATATTTGATTTTGAATCAAGTTTTCGCACAGTGTTCATGGTATGAAATGGGTCGTACTAATTTGACCTAAACAAATTTCTAATGCCTGACGCTGACAGATCATTTATTTTAATGGTTTCTGTTTTTTTGTTTTTTTAAATCTCTACACGTTCCTATCAGTGGTTCTAAAAATTTTTGAGTTGTCAACTACACTGAGAAAGTGACGGAAGCCAGAGCGTGTCTCCATGAAACCCACACATGGAAGATTCACTGCTGAGAGCTCACATGTGACAGTGTGGGGTGGAGACCAGGACCTCTCCACCCCTCCCAGTGGGACCAGCAGTTCAGAGCCCCCACCCCAAAATCTGTTCTTATTTTAAGCAGGAGTTAGAAGCAAGCCCAGGTCTGGGTGGTGAGATTGACGGTCCACAACAGGGCCCAGCTTGACTGGCCCTGTGGGTCCCGTGGAGATGCCTGGACACACTGCCGAGAACAGAGTCTAACCCGGGGTGTCTTGTTACCTTGGTTCCCCCTCTGCAGCTACAGACTAGCTCCTCAGTACCAGTTCCCAGTTTCCCTGGAAGACTCCATTTTTGTGGTCAAGTTCTTTCTTCAAGATGACATTCTTGCAAAATATAGAGTGGATCCCACCCGAATCTGTATTTCAGGAGACAGTTCTGGGGGTGTGTTGGCAACAAAAGTGACTGAGCTGGTAAGTCTTCCATGTCATGCATGTTCCTAGCACACGCGCCATGAGCACCACCCAAGAGAACCTGTCATTTCAGCTGCAATCTCTGTGAAATGTTAAAATACACACCCCAGACTACTTTCTGTCCTTTTCACATGATTGTATCTTCAGACAGATAAAACTTTAAAGACATCAAGAGGATGAAATATAATGCTGCATAAGGCTCTATTTTTATCACTAATTTTAGGGGGAAAAACCCAATAATGTCTAGGAACTACCATGTGACATGATAAGGAGTTTGTTTTTCTCCCTACGTAAATTGTAAAGTTTGCCAGGAATTTGGGATGATGGTAATTGGCGTGTTAAGCCCTGTAGGGTGTCACGACATAACGTTAGGCTATGTGTCATGCTCATACAAAAGCATGACTACCGAGACAGAAGGGGAACTGGCCCTCAGATTAAGCCCTGTCTGTGTGCAGCTGAACAATAACCGACACTAGGTAATATATCTGAAAAGTAAACTCCATTCAACACACAATCTCAACCTCAAAACCATTTTTTAATGGAACAAAGTTAGTATAGCAGAAACCTTTTAGTATACACCCTTTAAATAAAAATGAAATACAATAAAGCCACCATGAGCCACCATGACCTCTTGGCCTCTTGTTAGGGTGGCCAGAGGAAAACGCACCTAATTCTGCTCCTCTGCCCCATCTCAGAGCCCCTCTGCCTCCTTAGTTTCAGAGACCCACGTGGCTTCAAGCAGTTGAGGTGCATGAGATTTGGGCCATGGGCTAAAAGTGTCCTTGCCTGCATCTGGAAACCCTCAGCAGCAGAAGAGCTTCCAATAATTGGGAGAAGGCAGACGATTCCTGGGAGAACCCGGCCCCAGTGAGCCGTGTGGAGGGTGGGTCAAGGGGTGAGACACTTGGGAAGTTATCCCCAGGTCCCGAAGCTGCGTGCAGGAACTCTGCATGCAACACTTTTGGTGATTTTAGCTTTTTGAAGATTATTTCTAGAGCACCATGAGTGTATGTCACCTTTGTCTAGGAAGGTCATTTCATGTGTTTAGAAACCTTCCCCTCCTATTACTAAGCCACTATAAAACTCTCAGTAACATAAATCCTTAATACCAGCCCTCAACGGTGCTTGCCACACAACCTTGAAGCCAGCTCCACAGGGGACAACACGTCTTTAGTAAAGTGTTCAGAAACCTGCGGTGTGATGGGTACCTAAGTCATATGGCCATCAAGCGACACAGCCAGAGGCAGATCAGAGCCGGTTCAGCAGGGGAGCAACCCTGAGCTGCAAAGGGTCCGTGCTGTGACTGAGTTGGGGGATAGTTTCTAGACAAGAAGGACCTGTCCTGAAACAGCATCAGCCCTTTCTATCCAGAGTGACTAAAAGGTCCCATAGAGACAAGGACAATTGCAGTTTTGCACTAAGGGCAGAGGGGTTTAGGATGTGCCCTATCTAGTCTCCTTTGACTTTGTGTGTAATAACACTGCTGCCTAGCAGATCCTTCCCTTGCACTCAGGTCCTTATTGGTTGCCCAAGAGGTGACACTGCATGACTACTGTGTTTCCAGGGCTCTCCATGCCTCCTAGGCTCCATGCCCTTTAGTACCTCTGTTGCTTTGATCCCTAGCCTTCTGGTTGGTTCCTCCTCTTGGACAGGGAGTCTAAGCCAGCTTCTTCAATAGCCAAGGGTTATTGCAGGACCCTGCTTGTCACATGCCTGATACTGCTTTCCGGATACTTTTTTTCTGATCACAAAGATGATAATGCTATTATCTTATTTGAAGAATAGAAGGATGAATAATTAAATTAATTCATTCATCCTTTCATTTTTCTCATTGCTATATATACATTGTATGTATAAAATATGTCTTCTACATATTATATATATAAAATCCCACAAAAACCATGTAATTTATAGGCTATATGACACCAATAAATATAAAAAAGCCAGGCACAGCGGCACATGCCTGTAATCCCAGTGGCTTGGGAGGCTGAGGCAGGAGGATAACAAGTTCAAAGTCAGCCTCAGCAACTTATTGAGGCCCGAAGCAACTTAGCGAGACCCTGTCTCCAAATAAAAAATAAATAAAAAATTAGGACCGGGGACGTGGATCAGTTGCTAAGGGGTCCTGGATTCAATCCCTATCAACTTCCCCCCATAAAAATAAATAAATCTATAAATTTTAAAAAATAGAATATAAATAAATATATAATATAAAATAAATATATTCATGTTTCCATATAGATAATGGTAAAAATGGAAGGATGATGAATAGACAGGAAGATAGAAAAAGACCACAGATAGAAAGGTACACAGATATGAGGACGGCTCAGAGAGTGTCAGGAATAAAGGAATTAAATATCTAGTGGAAAGAATAAAGAGGGTATCCATCCACCCAGCTGCGGAAGCTGGGGGGTAGCTGGGGCATTTGCTCCTGGATCGTAGGTCCTCTCCCATAGGGCTAGGAAGGAAGAGGAAGCCACCTCTCAGCTGAGACCTCAGGAAAGAGCAGCCATGCACATTGAGTTCCACATCTTTTCCCAAACTTCAAATTAGCATAACTTACTCTCTTTCCATCACATGGCAGGATCTTTGTCCTGAAAGCGGATTGCATACAGGACTATCCTTTCCTCTGATATATTTCCTTTTGAATTAACATGTGAGTCTCGCCATTAGTATTTTATCATTATACTTATTCTTTCTTTTCATTTAGCATAATTTAGTGAAAAAAGGTTTTTAAACATAGATATCCTGTCATCTTCTCTAAGAATCTCATAATTACATTTATAGTTGATGGTCATGTGTGAACATGCATGTGATTCTGTGTGTGGTTTCTTTACTGATAAAACGGAAATGGCAACTTTTTATCCTCCAAAATTGGGTGTGAATGTCATCAGAATAATATTTCTAACCATAATTTACAATTTGTTTCATGAATTTATTTGCCTCCTGCTCCTGCAGTTTGAAAGTCTTTGATTCATTAATATTTTATTATTATTTTTTCCAGCTGCAGAATGATCCAGAATTCAAAAATAAAATTAAGGCACAAGCCTTAATTTACCCTGGCTTACAGTTACTTGATATCTTCATGCCATCTCACCAGGAAAACAAACACGGGCCGATTCTGTCCAGGGACCTGGCAATTAAATTGGGCTCCCTGTATTTGACCAAAGATAAGGCTCTGCCCCAGGCAATGAGGGAAAACCAGCACATGCCTCGAGGGTCCAGGCATTTGTTTAAGTTTGTTAACTGGAGTGTCCTCCTTCCGGAGAAGTATAAAAAGAACCACGTGTACAAGGAGCCAGTTCTTGGAAAGCTTGACCCTTCATATCCACTTCTGATGGACAGCAGGGTGTCACCTCTGATAGCCAATGATTCTCAGCTGCAGAACCTGCCCTTGACCTACATCCTCACTTGTGAGCACGACATCCTGAGAGATGACGGGATCATCTATGTCACCCGGCTGCGCAAGGTCGGAGTTCAGGTCACTCACGACCACATAGAGGACGGATTCCATGGAGCCCTGTCGTTCATAATGTCACCGTTTCATTTACGTTTAGGCTATCGGATACAGGACAAGTATATTAGTTGGTTAGAAGAAAATCTGTAAGTCTGAACAGTGCACGGAGCTGGCGAGTCAGTGTTATGATTGAGGACTGTGGTGTGAAATATTGTGAGTTTAACAGACAGAAGGATGAGTTTGGGATAAACCTACATTGAAACTGGAAGAAAGGCTCTCATGTATCTTTCAGCCAATTGGTTAATTTTCCTAATCTTAGATCTTGATAAAGTGAAGACATTCACCTTATTATTCCCAGGAAATATGACTGACCCTGATAAGCTCTGAGGAAGGACCAGGAGCAGATGTTCAAACCCAGGCTGGCCGCTCCTGGGCACCCGTGAGGGTGCTAGTGGTGTGTGGAGGGAGCTTAAGGCAGAAGAATCCCAGTGGCCCTTTTGTAGAGAGGGACATACACTTGACTGCAGACGTTTTCTCCCCAAATTCGGTATTGTCCATGTATTAACTGGACAATAACCTGTTATTTTTTTCCCATTCATTTCATACAGTCTGCCTACTGCTAGGCTTTTTTGCTCAAAGCAGGAAAAGGTCAAAACCTGGGCTGTGGATCATCCCTACAGCCTAAATGGTTGAGCCTTAATCAAATTTTTTAGCAACTCGGACCCTGAAGTTCACTTCATGGATTGCTATGTGCGGTTAATGAGTCCAGAAACTTCCTTTGCCAACTGTGCGTGGCAGTCGGAATTGTTTATTCCTTTCTTCTGAATTTCTGGAATGAATCCTTCAACCTCCCAGAGGCTTTGGAACTAGTAGGACATTTAAGCTTCAGACCCCTTTGCCTTCCAGTGATGCTGGGCCTCCCATGCCAGCCTAAGCCAACTGCACGATACCCTGCACGGCCACGAGGGGGCATGACGAGCATCACTGGAAGGCAAGGTCTGCTTACTGGCCGTCCCTGGGATGCTGCAGTTTGTGAGGTGGTGTTTCCTCTGTTCTGTGCCTTTTCTTAAGGATGAATAAAGTCTGTGTTGTGTAAGTGTAGCCATATCTTGTGAGTTTTATTGATAACCCAATTCCAAAACACATTATTGTTTAAGAATTTTTCGTTGGTGTTTTTTATTTGTAAATAACACTAGGATTTATTATTGCCATATTAGTACAGGCACATAAGTTGATAAGCCTTATTCCCCAGTATTATTATTATCATCATTATTATTAAGGTAATATTTTCAGCATCTCAATTATTTGCTTTTTGGTCATCCCAAAGATAATCTGTTCACTAAGCTTTAGCAGATTTCACCATGTAAGGCTTGTCCCTGGAATTCAGATACTAAGCAAGTGCATTACATCCAGAAAGTGTTGACTAGTAGGTTTTTTTGTTATGCTTCGTCACATGTTATGTGAGCAGCTATGCAGCAACTCTGTTTGTTTCATTTCTGAAACAGAAGTGACATTGATTAGCTCACTTTGAACCAGAACTAGAAAATATCCGTTTGCCTGAATTAACTACTAGTCATGTAAATCATGTGAGCCGGAAGTGTGTGTTATCTGCTCACAGGAGTTCATAACTCAATTTCTGCTCTGTAAACTTCATCCACCAGGAAATCTGTAGGCAAACTGCAGCCTCCCTGCATATGCTGGCCTCTCAGTTCATTCACAAAACTCTGTTGAATGTTCTCTGTAATGGTTCAGTTTTCAAAAAACCCCAAGCTTGAAGAATGGGTGAGATCACTGAGGCACTTTCTAATTCATAAAGCAAACATTTTGAAGTACATTCTTTAAACATTAAACATTCACAGAAAGTCAAAAGAAAAACAAGAATGCTGGAATTAAATATGAATTTTATTAGTTCAGTCACCACTCATATGATTGATCTTTCTGTTAGAGTATATAATTGAACATCAGTTATGTAACATTTCTATAGAATTGTCAAATAGTCAAACAAACATTTAAATGTTGATAGTTACAGAGAGAAGTTTGTAAAGGTGTAAGATTTAAAAAATCTCGACAATTTCAAAAATAGAGGGAGTAGTCAATTCTTGCGATTTAAAGGGGTCATAAAGAACCTTACATTGGAAAAAACAAAAACAAAAACAAAAAGCCTAGTAGAGTACTGAGCACTAAAATGGTTGAAAACTTGATCAATGGCCTGTGTAAAAATGCACAGAAGCAGATAAGTTCATAGCCAATTTTATCTCATTTAAAAATCAGTTTATGCAAGTGTTCATGGAAGAATTTTGAGAAAGTTAGAAAGAATACAATTTATTGTATGAATTCATCATAAGTTACCAAGTTATAATAATGATTATAACAAAGTTCTATTATAAATACAGATGAAAAATTCTACATAAAATTTTATCAAAGAGAAATCAACAATAAGCTAAAAGAATGTCACTCTGTGACCAAGTAGGTTTTATTCCAGAAATGCCAGTGTGTCTTAATCAGGAAATACATCTAGACACTTAAAAACTAACAGAGAAAAGTTATATATATATTATTCCTAATTAAAATAAAACTTTAAGGAAAATAGATGGTGAAAACTTAAATAGGAAAAGTTTAATTGAAAATCTCCAACAGTAAGTATTTCAAAAATAATGAAACACTGAAAATTACTAACTAAACTCAGGATGCCTAACACTATTAACTAACTAAAAGGATGCCCAGCATCATTACTATTTAGCCTGGACATGAGAGTTGTCATAAAAGTAGAAATACAAGGAAAACAATATTGTGTGCATACACTTGGAGATAATAATAAAACATTTCTTATTTGCTGACGGTATTGTTGTTTACCAGCTGCGGAGCTTAGCATATGCGAGCTAACAACAGACTATGGCAATGGAGTTTATTGCAAATTCAGTATTAAAAGATAGTATTTCTCTGCTCTTGTAATAGAAACGTAAAAATGGCGTGAGAAATATTCTATTAGCAGAAGAAAAAATAAAGAGGCAAAACATTTAGGACAGGGCATAACTCATTTAAGGGAAATGTCTTCTTGCAAGATGAAAACTCTGAATAGAAAACATTAAATGTTTTCAGGTAGAAAAGATACTTTCATAAACCATTCCTTTCTCTTCAGATTAGCATAAATATAATCGAATTCAAGTCTAACCCATGGTATAGATATTTTTGTGTGTGTGTGTTGGATAAAACAATTTAAAAAGTACAGAAAAAAGAAAACTTCAAAAACATTTAGGAAAATAATCTGCAAACAGACAGTGAAGATGAGGTTGCTTTCCCAGAAAATAAAACCTACAATACAAGTCGGAAAATACCAAGCACAATAAAGATCACACTATCCTCTAACTAGAGGACGCATGAACATCGTGCTGGATTGCAGGGCAGCAGATCTCTGTAGAGCTGTTGGTGTGGACATATTCACAGTTTTTTATGTGCACTAGTTTTTGACAGTTTTTAATGCTGACACAGACAGATGCACCAAAAAGAGTAGGTCTTTCAAGGACAGTGCAAGAGTCAACACAGAGTGTCATTGTAAGCAGCATGTACCTCGGTCACTCTGAAGGCCCCTTCCTGAGCCTGGAGATGCAGCTGACTACCTTTGCCGGGCCTGGTGTTGAGGGAAGCAAATGTTAGGACCCAACGAAATTTCTGCTAAAATTTTTGAGTCACATGGGAGAAGAAGCTGATTTTGCATGTGACCTCATGTGCAGCAGGAGGCTACCTCTCAGGTAGATGGAAAGTGAATCTTTACATTAACCCATTAACCACCTCTCTCTCTCTCTCTCTTTTTTTTTTTTTTTTTGGTGATGGTGCATGGATATTGGTTCTAGGGCCTTTTGCATCCTAGGCAAGCACACCACTGCCAGGTAGATCCTGGGCCCCTTGCCACCTGTATCTTCAAGAACTGGGTAAAGAAAGGAATGGAATATGGTCCCAATGTCAAGAAGCCCCTAGATTACCATAGGCTTGGGTTGATGCACTTCCTTATGAAAAGAAAGATACACACTGAATATTATAAGATCACAACTGTGAAGTTTCTTTATAAATTGGATTTGACTACATATTAATACCTAACAGCTGATGAATAGTAAATTTTTGAAACTGTTTAATATTTTTTGAATTGTTCTAATATAAAATCACATAAACAAATCAGTGTTGGTTCTTTCCAGAACAAACAGGCAGTGAAACAGAACAGAGAATATAGAATCCCAGTGTACATGACCCATGGCTCAATTGATGTCTATGGGAAAGAAACCGAGTGGAACCCAATTTTATATGAATAATGAAAATAAATTAATAGCTATAAATGGTAGAAATAATAAACCAGGATTCAATTTTAAAAAAATATTGCAAGAAATGAGCTGGCCATCTGTTTGCCTTGCCCTCTGGTGAGAAGGTTGCAGGGTTCAGGCGTGGCCAACCATTGGTGTCCAGTGAAAGGCCCCTTCCTGGGAAGTCCTCATCTTCCAAGGGGCTTTAAGGACTCAGCACGAAGAGCCAGGTAGTGGTCTTGGCAGCATTTCTCCAGGGAGGTCGTACAGCAGTGTGATTTCAGTGAGCGTCTTCAGGCAAGACGGGAACCTCACCTCTGCTTACCGCTTCAGGACAGGTGGCCTCTGCAGAGGAAGAGACACAGTGGCCCAAGACAACACCGGCCAGTGGTGCTTTAAAACCACCTCTGTTCTTTCGATGCATTCTTTCACTTTTCCCTTTGTCCTGGGCCTTGATTTCTCCAAATTGCTCCTGGCTTCTTCTGACTTCCAGCAGCTCCTACGGGGAAACACCAGTGCTGGGGATCTAGTGTGGTTCCTGAGTTGTCAGCATTTCAATGCACTTTGGCAAGGAGAGACTGAAGGACGTGTTCTGGGTAACTCTAGGGTAAGCAGCACGCTCTCCCTCCTGGACCAGGTAGAACCATGACTCTGAGGAGGACAAGGTGACATCATCTGCCCCCTGCTGTTAGGAGTGTTCTGTGGTCCTTGCTGGGTTTCCCTTTAGGCTTATGCAGTGTTGAATCATCTCCTGTGTGTGGTAAACCACCTGTCCTCAGCCACCAGGGTGGACTGCAGGCATGGGACAGGAAATGCAGGGTAACTGTACCCATTAGCTGGATCTCGTCACTGTGAGCC